ACCATACAAAAGTTGCATGAAATGGTTAAATTTCAGCCATCCTTATTTTTTTACAATAACACAATCTTTTCATTACCCATTGTACAAGATATTCCTATAATTAATACATACGATGTATGCTCAGCATTACCCATTGTACAAGATATTCCTATTATTAAACATACGACGTATGCTCAAAAAGAAACTTTACAAATCACTCATCTTTAAAATGGTTCATTTAATCTTCACTAGTTCTATAAATGACAAAACAAATTGTCTTATAACGTGTCCAAAAATGCCAGTGTAAAATGTTTAGCCTTTAACTACTGCGTCCATACCGTCATCAGTCTGGGGCATTCGAAATGTTGATTCGACGGTGGTAACAGATGAATACAATTCTGGGATGTGACAGGACTCGTAAGTGCAAACGGCAGTGAAACATTGGTTGAAAAAAACATCCTATGGTATAATGTCTACATTTCCACGGAGACTTCGTAAAAACTTTGTGTGTGGTAAAATGGCGTAAATTGCCCTACGATGAAATCGCTTAAAAATACGTATTAGTTTTGTATTTTGAGGGCATCAAATTGGGCATCCCTCTTGAAAATGATTTAAAGAACAATGCCTTGGAGAGATATTAAATGTGATTCAAAGAACTTGATTTCAAATGTCTGTAGAAGCTTTGAGAATACAGACACACGAAGTAAGGCCATCCGTAGCCTGAAAGAAAGGCTTAAAGCAAGTAACATCACAGGAAGAAACTTAAAGGAAAACAAAGAGCTTTGGTTTATCATGTCGAGCTGAGTGAAATTTTAAGCGCTGTAGACTAGAAAGGAGAGAGAAACAGTGAGATGTAAATGACGATAGAGAACTCATAATGCGCATGGAAGTTCCACCATACAAGCAGTTTCATTTACGAATAGGCCTCTGTACTTAAACAAAGAAAATTCGCTTCGAAAGACTTTCGTGTACAATATTTCTTAAGATATAATAACTCACTTCTCCTACTACAATTTGAAATATATGTGTCCTGAGTCACTTGGAATAATGGTTCTGCTAAATATAATATGTATAATAGTTAATAAATCCTTCGAAAATTTGGCAAAGTTCAAATAACTGTGAACGAAAACAAATAAATATTTATTCACGAAATTACTTTTGTTTACGTAAGAAGAGCGTAAGTCAATAGGAATTATGTTTCAGTTAAGCCCTTTTTACTGAGCAGTAAAGCATTAAAAACATTATGACAGCAGGAGAGGAAGAGCTTTCGATGACATATATAGAAATATACTCGTGCATATTATTATTATTACGTTCTTTATTTTTCGAAATCAACGTCATAAAAATATTTCACACATCACATAGCTTCTACTGAAGACTATTTTTTCTCTTTGCTTAATGCTCAGCCATAAACATCGAGAAATGGCATTTATTAGTGGAAAATGCTCCATTTTACAAGTGCTACTACCTTTAATTAGCTTCTAGAATTATGTATAATTGAGTAGCGTTGAAATAATATTGATGGGAAAGAAGTATAGGAGAATGTAGTAATGGATAAGTGAGATGAGAAAGGAATGAAAGAAAGCAATGAAAGTACAAAAGAAATCAATCCCGGCTGAATTTTACCTAGCTTCTTCCATCATCCTCAATGCACTACAGAAATTAAATTTGGTCAAGAATTCAAAATATATACGCCTGCTTAAAAGTTCATTACGGTCATCATGTAAAGTTCCTCTTTAAAACAGGGTTAAATAAATTTTCACATGATAATAACCACCAGTTAATTTACGACCTTAAGTAAACTGGTCAATTTTCCGCAAGAACCTAAAACAAAATGCCTCAACACAATGAAAGTAGACATTCGGTTGTACAAAACAAAATGCCTCAACACAATGAAAGTGGACACTCGGTTTCACCTGATGACGGAAGTAAAACCAGCTTCCAAACGATCTACTTAAACTAACGGAGTACAAAAATGTTCAGTATTATACGCTAGTTCGATAATGAGATATTTAATTTAAATAAAATACCACCGCACAGACGCTTAGCAATTATTAACGGTGTTCCCATCCCACTGTAGCTACGTACCTCTCACTCTGCACCTGATATCATTCATGTGTCATAAACGTTCCATATAAATAGACAGAAATTGGAGACAAAGATTACATTGAAAAATATCGAAAATATGTAACAATTTTTAAAAACGTTCTTGTACTGCACAGAGGCATAGCTCAGGCGGTTAGACATCATCTCGTCACAGCAGAGACGCGTTTTAACCAGAAGGAGATTTGTTGTAGACACTGGTTTATCAAAACATTCTACCTTCCCCTGCGAATCATAAAGATCCTGCCATATCACTTGGTGCGTTCCCATACGAATTAGTGTCATAACGTTCGTTATTAAGAAATATTCTTTAGCATTTAAATGAAGGGCACACCTCCCCTCAAATAAGCTGTAATCAGCGGTCTAGTGTTTGGCGAAATTGCATTCAAACACCTCGTCCAGACTTGCTAGATGCTGCCAAATAACCTCGGAAGAGAGTGTTTACTTTTTTACTGAGCCCTTATTTCGATAGGTACTTATTCTGAAGATGGTTGTGTTCTCGATTATTGCGCCTTGCGCAGACAATTGTCGCCCTGATCATGGGGGCAGCAAGGACCTCTCAAAAGTTTGTAAACTTCTACCAGATTCCACAGCGTTACAACCCTGAAGACAGCCATCTTCAGACTCACCGCCGGGAAAACCTTAAACCTTACAAGGGTTTTGTTTAGAGTTAACTAATGTTCGTCATCGCTTTTGTACCTGTCCAATTTTTCCTTAGTGATGAAAACCTGTCTGCGTACACACGATAATTAGAGAAAGAAAGGACATTTGATACTAGTATGAGAGTGTGAGAATATGAGAATGAAGAACGAAACACGGCAGTTCGTTGAATCAGATACACCAAAGGTCAAAGGCATAGAAGTTTGATATACCGATTTGTGTTGAGAACAGAAGATCTTATTTCAAATAGAGAACTAAGCTCAGCACACATTCTTCTTCTTTCTCCCAGTTGCTGTCACCAATAATCCGCATTCATGCAGCATCAGTGCTACCATTTCAAGTCCTTTTAAGTTACTTCCAATTTCACTTGAACGTGATATGGTCAAGTGAGGGAAACTAATAAACCAATTTAAAAGCAGGTACCGTATGAACAGCAATGTTAGTGTTTAGTCATCGGAAGCAAATCCCGATTAAATGATGTAAGTGGGAAGAAAGAAAAATACACATTAAGAAACTACATAAAACGTATTTTCTACACGATATTGTAAAGGTGTGAATCAAGGAAAGTAAGATTACTGATATGTATTATGAAACACATTGCGATAAGAGCATTATATATTTTAGTGGCAAAACTCCAACGGAAAAAATCGTTTCAGATGATAACAATACGTTGGTTTGAGAGATGTGCACAGAAATTATCTAATGCTAGACTTGGATTACCCTCTGAAAATCTCATCCGCCTTGATTTATTCACTCTAATAACATCGCGTCTAGATTACATATTACAAACCTACTCATCCACTGACTTGTATTTATGAAACGTAGTATGTAAAACGTCACACAAAATAATTTCACTTCTAAGTGTAAAATGCAATAAATTCCGTACTTCACATCTGTACACGAGTTTCAGAAATGTACTGAATTAAAATTCCATAGCTAGAAAAATAGAATAAAATAAAGTAGTTGTTCTCATAAATTAAACATTCGCTTGGTTTCTACTGAAATCGTACGAGTTTTAATGTGGATGTACACATTTTTCTTTTTTGCCAACATAACAAGTACAAAACCGCCAGTTGCTTTAACCGAGAGATCCTATAATACCAAAAACAGAAACGTACATAAACTACACTAACATTGAAATGGTATGGTCCAGTGTGCAATGAAGTAGCAGTCATATTTTTCCCCGGCAAAAGCAGACAACATTTGATGTTAAGAGAATAATGTAGTCACACAAGACTTGACGAGCGACCGCATTTTTCATAGTTCTTTCCAGATGATATGAAGTTGTTTACGTACCAAAAACATAATAGCGCAAGATAACCGTTAAGGAATACTTGTATTTGGTTTTATCGTTAAATTCCCACTTCTTTATTGAGGGGGCTGAAGTTTTTGAAATGATACTGATTTTATGACTATCAGCACTTATAAATTACACCGTTTGTTGCCTATGGTTCTAAAATTTAGTCTCCCGCTTTGAAGGTAACTAATTGTCATGGGGAAATGAAGTGTGATGAATATCGTTAGACAAGGATAGGCGAATAATAGAGTAGGCCGACTGAAAAAAACTATACAGTAAAGACGTGTTATGCTAAAAAAGTATTTCCGAAAATTAAACTGTTAATGAGTAATTACCAAGAAAAGAAGCTTTAAACGTATGTTTAAAAAAAGACTTTCGGAGAATACAGTCCAAGTAACTCATCAATAAATGCATATTTTTGTTTCACCAATTTCAATGACTGTAGTTTTATGTAGGCTTCTTTGTAAATACATAGGTATGTTCTTCAGAAAGAAACTATTTTGAAGTAATACATGGCAATTACTATACCTACTAAGCGTCTGGATTGTAGAATAATTATCAATATTAATCATATATGATGGACAAATTTCGAGTATACTTTGCAGATCAGGAAAAATGTCTTAACACACTTCCACTTCCAATACATAAACACTAAAATGTAATCAGAAGCATACAAACAGAAACAAATCACCATATTCAAAATTATTAATGCATATATAAATATATTATTGTAACTCGTAGATAATTATTACTAAAAATTGCAGATATAGACATATTATTGAAAATGTGTCGTATAATTTAATATATGTATAAGCAAGAATAGATTTTGATATAAAAATTGAATGAAGCACTACAAATCTTAAGAATCCCAGCAGAGAACTCGTTTTTACGTCTCGGCTCCTTGACCGAGGGCTTTCCGTGTTTTTTAACCAGTCGCTTCAGACAACTGCTGGGACAGTACCTTGAAATTAGGTCATGGCAGCTTCCTTCCATATCCTGTCACTTGAAGTTTAATGCTGCAACGCGTTAATGGTTATGTTCAAGACATCCCTCCATGTCCGCACGAAAGACTCCATATAACCAACTGTTCCATTCATGCCCAGTAAGCTACAGTACGCCCGAGTAGCGGTAATGCTTCTAACTCGTGTTTGTGGGGTAACCGCTGCAAACCGCAGTCTTATTATTGGCCATTCTAACTCATGTCGTTCGTGGGTTCTTTTTCGGTCAGTGCATGCGAATTCCGGTCTTGCTGGTTCAAAGGGGACACTACCACGTTCTTCCATTTCATTCACCTACTCACCATTCTCGAATATTTTCCCATTTGACACTTTACACGATTTTCAATACTCATTAAAAAATCAAATAATTGTGTTCAGAGTGTTTTATTTCCAGCATAATAAAATTACAGTTAACATCACGTTCCTAACAACAGTCGAATGATGTAGACTTGAACCTGAAGAAGGCCAACACAGAACATATTTTCTGATGATTTATGTATCATTTTATAATACCCATTGGACACTATGATCCTTTGTTCCTGCTGTTAATCTTCACTACAAAGACTCGTAATGTATCTTTTCTGTCATTCAATTAAATATTTTCCACATCGGAAAACATAAAATAAAAAATGTAGAAATTACCAAAGCATTTTTTATATTTTGTATTGCGATGAGCCGTTCGTACAAAAATCATAAAATTCAATTTGAAATTTATCTAAATTAGTGCACAAACGCAAAACAAAATTAAATTATCTTCACAATGATTTAATTGTAACACGCAGTTTTACAGATGAAATATTCGTACAGAAATCCGAATTGTTTTCATTTATACACTTTGTAGAATTGAAAGATAGTAGTAATAAAATATTACTGATAGAAATAATAAAACAAAGGATATCAATAAGAGCACTTAACGTTGTGTATGAACATCTGATTCACTTCCGAGACACTTTCCGCGATAATTAAAAATTAAATATGGGGAAATTAAAACAGACATTTTCATTATGTTCGTGAAATTGCATATTATCGTGTGCCAATGATAGAAAAAATCTGAAGCTCCTTTTAAACACCCGATGGAAAATCACCTTCTCATCCAACGGGGGGCACAGATGTTAAAATGACTTTTCAACAGAAAGAGACACTGACATTTGGTGCTCCTAGCTCCCCGGGTCACCAAACCTAACAGCAAGCGACTTCGTTTCGTTGAACTACGATAAGAAGGTCGTGTTCATGCCACCACTATCAACATACATTCCTGAACAGCACCTCAGGATCACTGAAGAACTGACATCAGCTACCAGGGACATACAAGGAGTGGCATACTAAACCGATGCCCGCCGTGCGAATTGTGGGGTTCATGTCAAGTGCGAATCAAAATAAATTTTCAGACGTACAATATCAAGCTGTATTCCCCATCAGTAATATGCATAAATTTTCATTTTTACAGAATTTGTCAAGTGCTTGCCTCTTTTAATTACATTGTACTTAATTCAAAACTGGAAACTAAATTATATTATCTTTGAAAATTAATTAACGGTGTAACGTACCTAAGCTATTTGATTCTAATCCCTAAACAAAACCTATTTACTGTCACTTATTTCCGAAAACTGGTCACCAACCTTATGTCCACTGCACCTAAAATTCATTCGTATTGCTCATTACCGAAATAATTTATTCAACTTTATAAATTAATCTGCGTCTGCGTCTGTTATAAGGTATCGTTATTTTTATTCTACAATATGATAATCAATAGTTAAAATCTACATTATTTTATAACAAGAATATTTAACATAAAACGTATCTTAATGTTTAGAGTCCGAAATTAACTATTTTTTACTACCTATGGAATATATTTATAAAACGTGCATTAAATTAGGAATATTTTATAATATCCGAAGTGTGTCTACATTACGCACATTTAGTTGCTACGAATATTACGTAAAAGAGTTCCATTCCCATATACAAGTAACGTAAAGCAAGAATTTAGCTCCCAATATTTTATTTCTTATTGTATTTTACGACACTTTCTTAACTTCAGCGGTTATAAAACGCCGAAAAAGTATTAAGTAAATGGAGGAAAGCTACATTTGGCAGAAAAGGCTACCAGATCAAACTCGGGAACTGCTGAGTACGAACGAGAATTCATGAACTCAATCCATACATTTGTGTTTGCGCTTTCTGTTAGTTACTCCCTCAAAGAGGGTTTGGTAGGAACCAGGTTACATGTAATTCATGAAAATAGATAGAAACTTGAAGAATAAATTAATATTTCATGGGGCTTGACAGTGTGGATGGGGTTATTCCTTATTTCTCTCAGTTTCTCCCGACAAATATGCCATGAATGCTTCCTTCCATATCCTTCTCAAGTCACTATTCACAATTACCTTCCATTTCACGTTACTGTAACCAATGCAGATGAAAAACGAACAAATAATTCAGACTGTTACCCGCTCTTTGCACAAAATTCATTATCATTCATGTATTTGTTGTTTAATTTACAAGAGTTCAGGATGCGTTGTGACATAATTTAAAGTATCATTCCGGCACTTGCCTGGAGGGACTGAGGAATACCACAAAAACCTCAATTAAGATAGTCGGTCATCTGGACTAAATTTGCGTCCAGAAGTTCCGGAATAAAAATAAAATCAACTAATGAATGTTACGTACACTTTAGAATCATTAGCTTGTTTCGTACCAGGAAAGTGGACGATTTCGATTAAAATTGATTTTTATTAATGTGTCCTATTCCTTTTTGGTCTAATTTAATTTTGATTTAGCTCAATACAACTAATAATTTACTTGGATGTTGGTCTAATTTAATTTTGATTTAGCTCCTAATTTACTAGGATGAAAATTTCAGATTTTTCAATTTTTTTTCAAACATAGTAGACCCACATTAACAAGGGCATTACGACATATAACTCGTACCTAACTTCGATCTACAACTTCCATGATACGTTTTGTATATGTGAATATCCGACAAATAAAGGAAAAATAACTTCTGACCACATACAGTTTGATGTCTGAATCGTAATAACACTTTGAAAGCAATAATCTTAAATTTGCAATAAATAAACATCAATATCACGTAGGTATTGCAAGAACTTCTTTTGTAAAACACTGTTACTTGGAACTTATTTATGACGTCTCTTTGCACAAAGCTAACTACGGTTGTACTCAGACTATTTCTGTGTAGCTACAAAGCACTTAATTCCAAAACACAAGAGAAATTTCATTCTGCAAACTACCATAAAATAATGATCTCAGGATTAAATATCGGTTCTTAAATCAGACTAATGTGGTTGTTGTCGGACAATGAAAGACTCCTACTTACCAATCTGAAGGAAATCAAGTTGCAGCGTGGAGGAATGAACAATTAATGAAGACCACCAGAGACTTCTCACTTCGGAATAATTTTAGAGGGATAAAGTCGTATAATAGTAGTCCAATAATAAGTTTTTAATTCAGTTCAGAATGAATTGAATATTGAAGTTATATTTATACAGTATTAATGTTATGATATGACGAGATTTACTTTTGAGTTCTTTTTAATTGAAAATTCTCCAATAAATGGAGATAAAAGTTCTAAATAAAGTGTTTTCTGACAAAACAACAGGAATTCGAAAGACAGTTAAATAAATACTTATATCACACACGCACATATCATTTTAGAATTACATCAGAAGGGTGGAGTGCTTGAATTCCATGGGTGCTGAACTTTTTCATGGTTTGAAATCACTTTATATATAACAGCTTTTCGACTACTAAATTCATTAACATTTTCCAAAAATACGACTTACAGTTAATATTCACCACTTTACACAGTATAAAACAGGCAGAAACACCTTTTCTTTCTGCCTTCACTGTTCCAAGAAGAAAGCTAACCCATTGGCGGGTATCGAAACTAGGTCCTCGCCTTTTTTTTTCGCCCAGCGCGAGGCGCAGCGGTGGCGTTTCCTCGCGGTTCACCGGCAACTGTTAGTCGCGAGAGCCAAGAGGCGACTGTGGCGTCGCCGGCGGCGCACAGAGTACTTGCTGGCTGTAGCCGGCGCCCAGAACGGCGACCTAGCTCACTAGCCACAACAGCGGGACCCCAGTCTGTAATGACGTCTGCATGGCATCGACTCACTGTCTTCAGTATTCATAAGTCCATGATTTGTTTGTATATTGTTTAACTACGCTTTCTCATCAACAGAGGAAACTGCAGTGCCTATTTTGAAGGTACTGGAGAGACCTCAGTGTTTAATGACGTCTGTTTTATTAGGCTTCTTGCGACTGACACACACTTTCCAGTGTTTGCTATATGTTATTTACCTAAGATGTCTCATCGGCATTGTTCTTGTAGCGTCTAATGGGAGGATATTTGTAATTGAATTGCGAAGAATACGGTAATACGGGGTCATAGTGTGTTTTAAGAAAGTCTTTCTGTAACTTTCACCTGAACGGACTCAGAGAAATGACAAATAACCCGTCAGAACAGAGATACGTAGAGCGAGATTTTAAACTAAGACCTCTGGAAACTAAGCAACGAACCACTACAGTCCACGACTGTAATCTTGAGACTTGCGGAGTGAGGAGCGTCTGCCTTCAACGCTACGGACTTACAGCATTCCTTGCAGGTCTCAAGATTACAGTCGCATACTGTAGAAGTCGATGTTTATATTTCGATGTCAAATACTGACCGGGCTACCACCTACACTGAGACTATTTTTGGTCTTCTTCAGACTGCCAACAGAGCACCAGAACATGCTTTCAAATAGGCTACGAGCTCTGATTTCAAAACTTTGACCTACTCTCACATAAACTTCATGCACATTGGGAACAGTGTTGTTATACAAGATTTGAGGTTTTCACAGCGGTGAATATGAAGATTTCTGTCTTCTGGGTTCTGAATTCATCGCCCTGATGATGGAGGCAGTATGACCTCTGAAACGTTGTTAAACATCGACCAGACTACACAGCGCAAGAACCCAGTAGACAAAAATCTTCATACTCGCCGCCCTGATGATAGAGGCAGTATGACCTCTGAAACGTCGGTAAACATCGACCAGACTACACGGCGCAACAACCCAGAAGACAGAAATCTTCATAATCATCGCCCTGATGATGGAGGCAGTATGACCTCTGAAACGTTGGTAAACATCGACCAGACGTTGTCCAAACACCCGGCAATTAAATCCTATCAGTGCTACTAAAAAAGAAGGTTACTGAACCTAAGCGAAAAAGTCTTCGTGAAGAAAATCGGCCTCAATGCTGACAATAGAACGCGCAAACCTCAAAAGTGACAGTTGGTAAAGGATCTTTTGCTTCAAAATCAGTTTCATGCTCTCTATTATGTAAAATAGAGGAGAAAAGAAATTAGGAAAACTTCAATGTGCATTCTTACTACAACAGCGCACTTTTATAAACAGACTTAAGTAAGGCACAGAGCTTATTTTATTTTTTTTATTTATACTTTATTTAACGACGTTTATTTAGTAGCTCAAAGTATAGAGCAGGGCTGTGGAGTCGGTACTAAAACCTCCGACTACGACTCCTTCATAAAAGCTCAATATGTATTAATAAGGATAAACCTACTAAAATGGTGAATGATACCATAAGAGATTTCCCTACCACCACGTGAATCATCAGGCTACTTTTTAGACTTGTAACCTAATTTTAAATATAAGTCTAATGGTTATTGCAGAAATCGGATGATTTGTAGACAGTTTATATTCTTATGGTACCGGAGCCAAAGTTACAAAGCATTATTCCCACACCACGTGGCTCAACGCGTCGTTGAATCTCCCTAAGCGTCAGGCTCACACGGTAGAGAAAGTGTTCTTAGATTTTATATCGAAGTCGGTGTCGGTACATTTTTAC